CACAACACACACACAATAGACACAATAGAACTCATGGAGATACTAAAATACAGAAATCCACTCTTGTTTCTAACTACAGATTGTAAGTAAAGGTGACATTTTCTAAAGCATTTTGAAAGATGAATAGAATTTGTGCAGTATGAGAATGACAGCAACCGTCAAAATCAATAGTATACTTCCTTAACCATTGTCGGTAAGAGCGTTGGCGTGTGCAGACTGAAGTTTTCCCACAAAGACACAGCTTCCGTCAACAATGGTCGTCCTGGTCCCATTCACATGTCCTCTTTGTCCCTCTGTGCCGTGTTGTGCAATAGGTAATGTGGGACAGACAATTGGCTTTCAGACACGTTCAATAGTAAAGTGGACATGACGTATAATTCATGCATTTGTCATGAATGGTGCTTCTGATAACAGCTGATGTGAAAGAGGAAGCTAGAGAGGCCTCCCATGACGGCTCCGGGCTGTCTGTAATGTGTCTTTTGTAAGTTTGAGTTGAATGTGTTAAGGACAATGTGCAGCTACAGTAAAAAAGATGTCTGCACAAGATTTGGCACCATGCTACTTTCCATCTGTAGTCCTTGACAATACAACCATTAAACATACATATTAAATACAGTTTAAAAAGTGCAAACTGTAGTCTTAGGTATACAGTATGAAGGTTATTTTGTGTTTTTATTATCAACACTTTTTTTTGCTTTTGAATTCTATAAACTGTAACAAAAAAGTATTCAGTGTAAATAAATTCAATGTTTTAAAATTCAGTGTCCAAAATTAAATGTTTTAAAATTCAGTGTCCAAAGATTCAACGTTGAAAAAAATTCAGTGTCCAAAAATTTGTTGCATTTTTTTTCGCTGCTTGAAATGTCATGCTTTATTTCCGGGTAAATCAAGAACAAAGCAATCGATCAGCCAATCCTCCACAGATGTAGCCAGGGCCAGAACATGACTTTGGCTTCATCCGAATGTCCGCACTATACCTTGAGTGAGTGACTGAGTGAGTGGACTCATTCTGATGGCGATTCGGACGCTGCACACTATTATCAGGCCGTGCTGTTGTACGTGAGCGGAGTGGAGAGAGGAGCGGCCATGATGAGGTAAAGGTAAAAGTTGAATTTACGTTTTATTTAGGACATAACATTTAATTGTATTAACATTGGAGGTGGGAAATACCCTTCTATTGTTATATCAGAGGTCTGTTTGGTGATTAAACATATTTTCTTTGGACTTTTTCTCCAGCCTTGAGCTCCAATGCTAACACGCTAACCACGAGTGTAGAGCTGCGCTGATGCCCAGAATGGAGCGTCATGCGCTGGGAGTCATTTTGAGAACTCCCTTATGCTAACAGTCTTAACTGTGGAAGTAATTATGAAAACCCAAAAAGGCGGCTTTTGTATCATACTTTCTCTGTTATAACAATTGTTTTAAGAGTGATCATTAGTCTTAAAAATGTGATATTTCATGTAAATAATGCATGTGTTTAGTGCGATTGATGGATTTGCTATGGCCCTCGTTTGTGCATCACTTTGTTGTAAAGAAATTTGTATTAAGTACAAACGTGATTATGTGCATTTACTGATGACAGGGGGACATCTGTGAACATGAAGCTGGACACAGAAGACGCGTGGACTTGAACTTACGGACCAGATTTAAGGTCATGAGTACTTACTTTTTGAGCACAAGCTCCTTGCCTCTTGAAATCCAACAGACCTGATCATGTCAGAGTTCATCCATCCATCCATTTTCTTCCGCTTTATCCGTTGCCGGGTCGCGGGGGCAGCAGTCTAAGCAGAGACGCCCAGACTTCCCTATCCACACACACCTCCTCAGAGTTAATGGCTTAAATGTATTTAAGATTAGAAGTACTTAAATAAAAGCTATGAAACATGTTTCTCACGGATTGTGTGGTTGGATAAAAAAACCCATACATCACTTTTCATTGCACACAAAGAACTAAATCATAATTATTTTATTCCAGGTTGTGATGAGTCCACTGTAGAAAAGACAGTCAGAGGCAGACGTCCAGGCACCTGCTGTTGTTCCTACTGCTGTTACTGCTGTTACTGCTGCTACTGCTGTATATGTCTTCAGAAAACGAGAGATGTGTTCTAACTATCCATGACTTGTAATTAATAAAACAAATGAACATATTGGTCGTTGTAGTTTATATAGTATTCCACAGAAGCTGGAGGTGATGGAAATGGATGAAGAAATGATGCCTCTGGAAAAGAATCATTAAACAGACCCGGTTCTTCTGGGGTTAAAATGAGCCTTTTGTTACAATCAGACATGTCACATATATGTTCATTTACATGTACTGTCCCAGTCAAATTAATTAATACAAATACACAGTAGTAGAGTAGAAACAGACGCTCTGAGGAGGAGCAGAAGTACGATGCCTTTACAAACACACACTTGAACTTAACATATCAACAGTAAATGTAAATACATGTCCAGTCTTTAACAGGAGGCTGGTAGAGTGGGATTTACAAATATACTCAATTAAAACCATATCTATCAGTCTGATTCCTCTCTGTAGCATTAATATTGAATCCATGGGTTTGTTTTCTCCCTAAAGAACCGATCCTTCATTCCATCTTGGTTTCACTAAGATGTCAAAATTTAAGAGTAAAGATAGAATAATTATCAGAGGTCTAGATACATAAAAATGAACAACATAATTAACAACAACCCCTTTGCATGCTCTGTCTCTAAACAGTCAGCAGGTTTCGTCCTTGCTGCACTGCTAGAATAATATACACATTGAAATTGGGAACATAGTACATATGTCACACAAGAACTGCAAACCCCCGTGTACTTGGCTTTCCTGCGGTTCATTTTAGCTTAGCATTAGCAAAGATTAGCTTTGGGAAATCGCCAAAACGTAGAAGCTAATGATAAGCTAAGGTAAAAACATGTTCAGAAAGTACATACAGTAGTGGTTTGCGTGTTACATACCAACTAATGATGAGAAAACACACTTACTGGTTTGCTGTGGACGCCATGTTCAGATGAACAAGACAAGTCGTGTTCTGGCCCTGGCTACATCTATGGAGGATTGGCTGATCGATTGCTTTGTTCTTGATTTACCCGGAAATAAAGCATGACATTTCAAGCAGCGAAAAAAAAATTCAACGAATTTTTGGACACTGAATTTTTTTCAACATTGAATTTTTGGACACTGAATTTTAAAACATTGAATATTTTGACACTGAATTTTAAAACAATGAATTTTTGGACACTGAATTTTAAAACATTGAATTTATTTACGCAGAATACTTTTTTGTTACAGTTTATAGAATTCAAAAGCAAAAAAAAGTGTTGATAATAAAAACAAAAAAAATAACCTTCATATACAGTGAATCTTTGAGAAAGAGGTTTGAATAGTTTGTATTGTTGGCAATGCTTTGTCTGAGACTAGACAGAAAATGGAAATTATATGATTGATGGTATTTGATTGTTCATTTCTTATTCTTTTTTCACAAATCTATTCACATGTTGCTATAGAACTGTAATCCAATTAAATGTATTTTTGTATAGCCCTAAATTATAACATCAGTTGTCTCCTGCAATAATAACGAACAAATGGGAGCCATTGGTCCATGGGGAGCGGGATGACCAATGTCCACATATGTTCATCCATAAGAATCCATACAATTCCCCGATCACCACAGTCTTTAGACCCTCCTGCATGAGAAAAAGTGAGAAAGTAAGAAGCCCATATTGAGAGAGGGATCCACTTCCAACAGGCAGACTGTAGATCCAGGACTGTAGAAGGAGGACTGCAACAGTACGGTGCAGGACTGAAGAGGCGCCCATATAGTCCCATAAATGTAATATAGTCTACTGCTGACTCTAGACATCTGTTATGATGCAATGATATAGATTATCTACTTTTAAGATTAAGATCCTTTCATCGTCCCAGTGAGGAACTGTCAGTGTTGTATCACAGGTTAGAGAACAGTAGGAATGAGGAGTGTACGACATGAGATAAGACAAGTGAATATAGGCATAGCATTTGAGTTAAAATAAACTTCGGTCTGTATGCTTAAGTCAGCGATACAGGGGGTGGGCCATTATTATTATTTTTTCATTCAAAAACGTGGTGTATCCATAGTAGAGTTAATGTCCTCTGGTCCTGCATCCAAATTCAGCCAAAATAACTCCTTCCTTGTGCAACCTTTTGCTTTAATTAAATATTACTTGGACTGAGATCCAGGTTGAGTCAAGTGAAATTTAAGCATTAAGATTGTTCAGATGTCATTAGATCAAATGTAAATACCAAATATGTCATTAAAGAAGGAAGGGCAATGAAGGTATTTGTGTGTGAATTTGGATGCAGCCAATGTAGCTCTCTGATAATGTACAGTAAGTATCCCACTTCCTGGTTCAGAATAAAGCCTCATGTCGGCAAAGGTACAGTTTGTTTGCTCAATGCAGCATTTTGTAATACAACTACCACTTCTACAGCACTTTTCTTGTTTTGAGAGTAGTTGCTCTTCACTTAGCATTGTGTTCATAAGCTTAGCAAGTTAGCTGTTAGCGTAGCATTAGCATAGCTTTAGCATAACGAATGGAGGCAGGCTATCTTTTTGGTTTCAGCCAACTCATGTGTATGTTGTTTTTAAGTTTTCAATTAACACATTGGACTACACATTCTGACATAAAGTTATAGAAAAACAAGCAGGGATGTAACTGTTGGATTAGCCCAGGCTTTGAACCTGGACATGAGAATTTATGCCACACTACACCATTTCTAAAATGCTAAATATAATTATTATTCTTTGCACACTGTAAACCTGTTGACTATACAAATGGAAATTTGCTTGTAGCTATTTCTGGTCTGAACAATACATTAATTGGGGAAAAAAAGTTTGTATACAAAATGTTACCTTGATGAAATTCTACTTTTATTAATCACAAATCTTCTTCACCAATAACGATTCCTCACTCTGGCATAATTCAAGTTTGACTGATTGAATGCATTGTGTCTCCTTCCACAGCTCTACAGCTCGGTGGAGTTTGGACGGAGGTGGCAGATCGTGCATGAGCGAGTGGCCCCCAATCGTTTCTACTGGTGAGTACTAACGACAACGCTTCTATGGCAAGAGCTCTGGTGTGTGTCGTCTGGTGCACACTGGGGTAGTCTTGCACAGTTTTTCCTATGTGGTTTTACTGCAAATGGCAAATAAATGAATCTGAATCTGATCTGATTCCTCTTGAAATCAAAATGCATCTCAGGTATTTCTTACGAGCAATGCTTGTGTCGTGCTAAGACACACAAAAGCAATTTCGCCAAAGTCAAAATATGGAGGTTCTTTTCTCGTCTGCCCCATAGTTTTTGCACACCACTCTAAAGAGCTTGTGGTATGCCTTGTTTTTGTTTCTTAGACTCATTACTAAATACTTTATATTGTTTGTAATTAGCACTTAAAACGTCAATCTGTCTTGGAGTAAATAAAATGAGTAACCCTACCAAATCACGGTCCATTTGAACAAGTGGTAAAGAACCTAAATTGACTGAAGGATTTCCAAAACAAATTAAGAGGCAGTCCTTTTGTTTTTAAAAGCCTTTGTCGATGATGGATTTGGCATACCAATTATGAACGGGACAATTTGGAGAGACGAGTGGGAGGACTTCCGTGTGACCGAGATTGCCTATTTCTTTTGCAAATGTTGTTATTTAGTATATTTATGAAAAAAAGACCAGAAAACAGCTAAATTTCACCTAACAAATTGGCAACCCCTCATTCTGCGCTCTGATTGAAAAATATCAAATACAACATGCTGATACCTGTAACCCGATAACTTAAATAAATACAATACTGTCCCTTTAAAAGTAAAAGTATTACTATAACCCGACACGCAACGAGGGTGATTATATATTTTTAAAGCTGCACATAGTAAAGAGGTTGTGAGCTGGATTTTATTTAAATGTTTCATTACTTGGTCTAGTCAAGATGTCGCCCCCGTGTTCCAGCGTGCTCTCTCCCGCCTTTGCTCTTAAATATGTATAATTTAACAAGTATTTGCTGCAAGAAAATGGATGTGCACGATTACTAACTTTGAGGGTCACAGCTGCTTGAATCTTCTCTGCATTTTTAGGCCCAGACAAGAACTGTTAAATTGTTGTATGATTTCACAGTAATGGTTTTCAATTGTTTCCTTTTTAGCTAGTTTTATTCATGCACTTTTTAGCTTGTTTAATTTTATGTACACACACTGGGGTACTTTTGCCCTTGTATTCCAATGTAGTTTTACGGTAAATGGCAATTTGTGAAATGAATGTGAATTTGAATGCGAATTGCCACATGTCTGTTTGGTCTATTTCACTTTATTAAATTAATTAGCTTGGATACAGGTCTTTGAGAAGCCTTCTAGTATTTTTTATTTTTATTATTTCAGTTTTATTCCAATGATTCTTCAAACTACAATTATCTGTATCTGTTAATGAGAGAGCTGGACTTACCGTGATAACACAATGGGACCATACAGTAGTCTACATACAGTACGTCACATGTTACAAGAGAAAATAATATTCTATCTATACCATTGACACAACCAAGGAAGCCATTTTGTTCCGACTGTCATAACCCAGGCTGAAAACAGCAGAATTAAGGAATGAATTGCCAATACAACACAATACAATGTATTCTTGTATAGCCCTAAACCACAACAGCAGTCATCTCAGAGGACTTAACAAAACCATTGAAATCACCAACACAGATCAGAGAATCAACAGTTAAGACACATAAAATACACATATGTATTGGTCCATAGGGAGAGACCAATGTCCAAGAATGTTGATAAATGTCCATACATGTAAAGTGTCCTGGATCATCACCACAGTCCTTTTGGTTAGACACTAACTGTCCAACAGATCCTCCTGCATCGGCAAGGACAAACTCAAAATACCCAGTGGGAAAAAAGTGAGAAAACCTCGGGGAATACAAAGAAACAAGGAGTCTATATATTTGGACATTAGTCATCCCACTCCCTATAGACCCAAGTCTCCTATGTGTTATAATTGTATGTACTGTTGGATTCTATGATCTGTTGTTGGCAAATTAGCAACTTTATAAAGTCTTCCATACCTGCTGCTGGGATTTAGGTAAATCAAAAAATAAATTGAATTGAAAAAAATGAAAAACAGTTTCTCATTAGTATTAAGTTATTGGTCTTTGTATTTCTGCAGTGTTTTATGTAATATAGTGGCTTGTGTGTGTGTGTATTTCAAAGAAGAGGGTAGAATATTGAGTTTCAAAATGTATTGTTCTACTCATCAGCGGATAAGTTGATACAGTCATTCCGGTGACAGGCCTGGTCAGCACCACATGTATTTTTGTTGTGAGTCTGAGTCTGAGTTTTCTGGAGTTTGACTTTGTAGACGCCCGAGACGACAGTTGACGTCACCGGTTGAGTTCAGAGCAGACTGAGGTTTTAAGGCGTTCATTATTCATGCTGGTGTCACACTTGATGCTGTGGGTGGCAGACAGTTACATGGTTTGACCCTTGTGAGCCTCTGTAGGACAAGACGTTATCATCCGTTTGAGTCCAGTATGAATGTGACTTATGCGTCTGTCAGAGAAAAAGATGTGCGGGATGACCACTGCTGCATGTTAATATTGATTGTGTGTATTTTTCACCTTGAAAGAAATTCTAAAATACCTCTTTTATAAGTCGAGAACATGGAGAGGATCAGTTGGAGTAATATTGTATGGTATTTTGTATTCATTTAAAGCAGGGGGACAACACTATATTATTATGTGAGCACATTTATCTATCTACAGTAGTGTGTAGTTTGTGCAGCTCTCAGCCCAAAGCATCAAATAGGTTCTTTCTTACAAACTGGCAAATTATGAAATGATTTCTAATTATATGTCCACAAATGGTAAAATACTCTTTTAGTGGGGAAAAAAATCATATTGAATATCTATGAAACTAATAAGTTTGGTTACGTTTTTAAATTATGTTCATGGGTGGAGTCTAGAAGTATTTACTTATTTCTCTCTCCAAATTGTGAATAGAAATACATTTGTTAATACATATAGATATTTTACACATCCCAACACCTGGTGAATCTATAGTGGTTATATACAGTGGTTTGTTTGTCTATTTATGTATATAGATATATATGTGTATGTGTGTCTATTTGTGTATATAGATATATATGTGTATACATATACATATACAATTAACGCAGAAGTAGGTTACATAACAATGCACAAAAGTATCCCCAAAAACTAAGGAATGTAAATGTTTTAAATACTTGAATTAATGTGTAATTTCTGCTGGAATGACTAAAACCAACAAATCAAATCAAAATCAATCCCAGATTTAAATGTTTGTGATTGATAGGAACAGGTTTCAGAGCAGTCAATTTGACGGCTTTTCTTTCTGGAAGTGTAATGACTCATTGCCTGTGCATTCTTGGTCTTCAGAACTTTGTGATTTATCTGTATCTTTACATAGTTTATTTTATTTAGACAGTATTATTAATTAATGCTAGTTACCATAACAACATACTGTTAGCATTTGCCTCGTTTGCAGTTTCTCAGTTATAAAGATACGTTTTAGCACTTTCAAAAGCAATTACTTGTAAAACCTTATAAATAACTTTATTACATTGAATCTGGTGAAAAACTAAACATTATTTGGTTCAAAATGACAGCTCTAGTCATTGTAGTAGTTTCAGAATGCTGGTGTAAACATGGGATATTACCTCCACCACATCAGCAGCAAGACCCCGAGCTAATCCACCCTCTCCATCTTCTCCTCTACACCCACATTTACTCCTCTGACTTACCACTGCTTTTCTGCTTTTCATACCTGTGCATCTTTTTAAGTCCCTTTTGGTTAAAACCTGCTGTACTTTTATGCCACTAGACCTCGCTAATAAAACATTTGAGTGAAGTCGCTGTCCAAACTCAGCCCTATGCCGAGCCTGTCTGCAGCCTCCATACACCGCTACATGTACACCAGTGTTCCCTTCACCACTGGGTAGGGAAGATGTCAGACTGGTAACAAGGGGTCCGGGAGTGAAGGCAGCCTGGAGGGATGCTGCCAGAGACCGCCAGAGCTATTTTAGGAGCAGAACTGGGTGTACGTATGTGTGTGTGTGTGTGTATGTACGTATGTGTGTACGTGTGTGCGTGTGTGTGTGTAAGGTGCGGTGCTATATAGCCTCTCTAATGAGCCTCCACTTGGAGCTTAGCACTGCGTATCTGCTGGAGATGCCAAACATGAGGAGATAAGGAGGTCTAACAAGATTGGGTTGTGAGAACCAAGGTAAAGTCCAATTAAAAAGTACTTCACAATCCTGGGCATTATAGTGTGAGAGTGTGGTGGAGCTATAAGGCATTTTGCATTCATGTTTTGAATTCGGATCAAAGGATAATAACCTGACCTTCAAAAGTTCTCTGTGTTTGCCTTGCAGAAAACTGTGTTGGAACTTGAAGTCAGTTTATGTTATGGATTTCAGTTTTTAGAACAGTTCTTAGGTTAGTATTAGTATTAGTGTTTGGTTTAGTTCAGTTCAGTTTAGTTGGTTATAAACTGAACTCTGTTTTTGCTATAAGACGCTTTGGGGTGAAATCTGATTGGTGAAGGTGATTCTTTTTTTTCAGTTTTCTGTATAGAAAAGTTGATCTAATGTCCAAAAAATGCATGGATGAGAAAAATCGAGATATGCCAAGTGAGGATATAGATGGATTTGACATGTACAGATTTTTTGGGAGGGAAGTTAGGTACCCCAGCTTTAAGAAGCTAAAGCATTGTATAATTCATCATCTATCGTGTGTGGCCGTACCTTGGTAATTACTGGGTCTATCACTAGGGGAGTCCACATTCACCTGAGCCATCACAAAAATAAATGACGCAGCTTTAGGAAACGGTAAACATTCTTGAACAACCATCAAATGAAAGAGTGGGTAAGAACTTCAGTTGCTTGTGAATATTTGACGTTTGAAGTAAAAAATCCGACACAAAATATGCGCTAAAATCCTCCTTTTCCATCCTGTTAGTGAGTTAATCTAATGCCCAGCCATGAAATGTTTTGCATTTGACATTACAAGTCTGAGCAAAAACATCTGGAGCTGCCTGCCTGTGATATTTCTTCCTGGAACTGGAGACTCAGCTCATATTTGCTACAATCTGTCGTGACGAAAGCTCAAAATTACCTCCGCAGAACACTTTTATACATTAAAACATACACACCATGGCAGTGGAGTGGCTTTTAGCATGAAAGAAGACATACAAAGTAAACTAAACTTTTTTGCGTTGTTCTCCTTTGTCATTTTACACTGAAACCTGTTCTTTGTGCAATCCAATTGTTTCAGTTCCAGCTAATATTTTAAAAGGTCCATATACTGTAGGTCCATACACTTGTTCCATCAATTCAATTCTATTCAATCTATTTTTGTATAGCCCTAAATTACAACTAAATTACAGTATCTCGGAGGACTTTACAAAGTTGTTGAATTGCCAACAAATGAACTCTAATGATTAAAAAAACGCACAACCATTAGTCCGTAAGGGGCAGGTGACCAAAGTCCATAAATGTTGATAAATGTCGTTGAATGTCGAGTGTCATCACTGACCAAGCCACTCCCTCTGTTTTCACTGACTTAGTTTGCAATTTTGTGATGGGACAATCCATCCATCCATCCATTTTCTTCCCCTTAATCCATTTCTGGGTCGGGGGGGTGACAGTCAGAGCTGCACCCAGTACACAGAGCACCAGCTCCTCACTGATCCTCCTGCAGATGGTGAGTCCACAGAAGCCTTGGTTATTCAGCAGGGCGCTTCAGGCAAAGTGGGGTTAAGTGTCTTGCCCAAGGACACAACGATAGCAGTCATCAGTGGGAGTCGTGAAGAAGGTCTTGTGGTGGGCTCGAACCCACAACCTCCAATGCTCTACCGACTATTGTCGTGATGGGACAATAATTATCTTAAGACCAAGAATATGGTGTAACATAATCTAGAATATTTGTAATTTATGACCATGGTTATAACATGTAAAACCAGACATCAGACATAGCTCCAACTACTACAACTCTTGCTTCCTCTGCTTTGCACCTGAGTGGATCACGCTGTGGAAAATGCTAAATGTGGATCACTTGAGTAGGACAGCATATTCACGTCTGCGTTTCATCTCAGAGATCACTAATACGTCTGATTAAGGTCCGATGTAGTTGCCACAAGCCCAAACTCCCTACGACGTCCTCCTGTCGACAAATGCAGTGGTACCTCTGCTCTGATCCCCAGTCTGTCGGTGGAATACATATTTAATACCCTCCTAATTATACTCTCTTCTGTCCTCCGGGCCCACACACAAAGTGAGGAAGAAATCTGTGAATTGAGGTATTAGAATTGAACAATATTTTTGACCAAATGGAAATCATTCATACACATGCAATCACACATCGTAAAATAAATAATAAATCAATAATACATGCTGAATATATTGTCTTGTATAGTCAATTACAGTCAAATATGAATCTGAAGTGTGTTAATGTATCCCGTATTTATATAAGCAAGGAGACTGTACAAATCCTCATGAGACTTGCCGACACATTGACTGCGATGAATGTGATGGGTGAGCGGTGAAATTACTTACCTTCAGAAAGATTTCTAATGCAGTACCTTACCAGAGCTGTCAGAAGTGAATAAGCTACTTACATGTACACGGCTGAAATGCTCATAAAAAAAAGACAAAACTTACACAGACAATGAATGAACTATTATTGTTATTTGAGAACACTATATGAAGATTTTTTTCAAATATTAGGCTGGAGAATTCCGTCAAGATGAAGCAAGAGTTACAGCTAATTTGTTTTTCAAATATTTGTCACTTCTGCAAATGTCTGGGACGGTCATGGTGCACCAATGAGCACAGGCTTGGCTTCCTTACCACTAAATGCACATACAGTACAATGAGACTCCACATAAAAGTAGCCAGTCAGTGCTGGTGTATTTACTGATCAAAAACCCTGATTAAACACTATATATTGTACTTTCAGACCACTCAAAATGTACGTTATAATATCCATCTCACTAGTTCTTTGCTCAAACAGTTTCACTATATTTTAATTGGCCTCTGCCACATGGATCAGGGTTTTTTCAGACTGAAAAATGTCAAAGACAGGACCTCCCTTTTACAAGACCCTTTCTACACAGTTAACATAATTTACGATATAGAAGTTAGGTAACCCAGCTTTACTAACTCTTGCTTTATAGTTATTTGTGACTCAAGTTTCATGAACTCAAATGGAAAAGTCAGGAGTCATAGAAGACAGAATCTCCCTTTCAAAATGTGAGTTTCAAAGCTCAAATCTTGCCAAAATGATGAATAAACTCCTTGAACTTGAACTCCCCTCAGGCAGAATAGTCTCTTTGTCCACAACGTGTAGGATCTGCCTTTTTCAGTTGAAGATTTTAACTTTACCTTTGTAGCTGTGGACAAATTGTCTAATGCTGTGTATGTTCTATACGTGTGAACAGATCCATCCTTATCGGCCGTCCGTTGAGCTCCGCACTGATCCCCCAGTCTGTGTGATACATATTTAATGCCCTAATGATTATATGCTGTTCCATCTGCAGCCTTGCACACGCCGCATTGGCAAATCAATGGCTTTTCCCACACTAATGATGTCAGGAAACATCTCGCTCCATCTTTCTCTGTTGAGCGTTTAATCCTGAAGGGCCTTTTTTTCCGTTTGTCTGGCATCACTGTGGAGACAAAGCACCGGTCATTCCCTGGACTAATGCTGATGTTTACCACAGCTGTCATTGCCTCTGACAATACCTCCAGTTAGGCATTTGTCTAACTCTGCACTGGGCTATCTCTGCAGGTTACACTGCTGGGGGGAAGTGAGCCCTCAAAAGCAAGAGAGCTGGGAGCAGAAACAACTTTAGGCGCAGCAACTCTAGGCAATTTTTATAAAAGAAAATTAAATATAAACCCCAAGGCAAGGCTAGTCATGTTTAGTTGTATGGTATAGTTGATACACAAGGCAATTCAAAGTGCTTTACAAGACAAGATGATTATGCCATTAACATTTTAGTAACGTATCTCCCACTAAGAATCATTACTAATTGAGAATTACATGAGAATATTACATTCAATCATAAATGTTTAAAGCAACGGTCTTCCTTAGTCATCGAAATGTTCGGATACGATGGAGAAATTGAACTCTTGTAGCGGCAAAGTTCTCGTCATATCCATTTAGATTACAATCGAATGTGTGTTTTTCAGCCTACTTCTACTGTAGCCACATATGCCCTGAACCAGTCCGACAGAAAGAGGCCAGACTGTGGTCCCTTTGAATCAAACAGAATGATCACATTATTAGCAATCATAGGCCAAATGTTTTCAGATTAAGTAATGCTATATTGATATAATTTATAGCACACAGCACAAGATAACTGAACTCTAAACACTGCATTAACTAAAACAAAATCTCTATCTTTTGCATTAAAAACTCTCAAGCATTTATCACATACAAAATACAAAAAAAGTTCATGTTTAAGGCTTGAAATGTTCTTCTAATTAGACCAAGTGTGTAAAGAAGCTGTTTCTGCTTAATTACCTGACATGTTCATTACACGCCATTATTTCACCACAACGAGGGGGAAGAGTTTTTTCTAAACAATGAGATCTCAGACTGCAGTAAAACACCAACTAATTACATGTGAGATTTAGTAAATGCAAGATCTCTTTAAATCCTGTCCACTTTTTACAACAGTGTCTAATCTACAAAGGTATGAGATTCATGTTTTATAATACATTGGTTTCAACCCAGCCCTGGTGTTATTTTTAACTTCTCGTCCTTCTCTCTCGTCTTCCTAAAGGAACAGCTGTTTGGCTTTTTCTATTAGAACTAAAGTGCAGGTGATGTTCATGAAACACATTTGTCTGCTTCTCCTTTCAGGTCCAAAATGGGTTTGGACAAAGAGGCCGGCCTAATTCACCTGGAAACCAGCATCTCGGAAGGACGTGAGTAATTGAATTCCCAGTTCACTCCTCCATTTTCTCATGTCTCTCTCAGCCTCAGCCCGTCCTGCAGCGGGAGTTTTGGTAAAGTAGAATGGAAAGGCGAATAGTCACAAATGTGTAAAGGACAAATGGTGCAGACACTGGATACACTGATGGCAATTAAATATAGAAAGTTTACTCACAAACTGGCAAATAATGTGACCGGAATTACCACATTTTTCCCACTATAAGGCGAACCTGATTACGAGGCGCGTTAACAAATTCTGCATTTCTTTCGTATATAAGGTGCACCAGATTATATGACGCAAGGTTGAAATGAAAGGCTTTTATGTGCGCCTAAGAGTGCAAAAAATATGGTAAAATGCAGATTTGGAACAGCTTGAAACACATTGGGATTGTGTTTAGAGGAATCATTATGTAAATTTAAAGCACCGTCTGATTGGAACAGTTTGCCCTCATCTGTTCGCTCTCTCAGTTCTCTGGCTCAGTTTAAGAATGCTCTTGTGCGAAATCTCCAAAATCAGTGTCATTGTTTTTGATTTTGGGTTACATAATCCTATGTTTACTGCCTTTAATATTAATAAGTTTAGTATTTTCACTATTTATTGTCTGCATCAAATATATTTACAACAGTCATGGTGTGTGCGTGTGTGTGTGTGAGTGTGTGTGTGTGTGTGTGTGTGTGTGTGAGTTTGTTTTGTGTGAGTATTGTTTATTGTTGCTTTTTGTCCTTTGTCTTTATTGTTTACTTTATTGTATTGCATTGTATCTGTCACCTCTGTTACCTTTTGAGGACCCCCTCGAAAACGAGATGTTTCATCTCTAGGGGCTTATCCTCCAAATAAATAAATACATTATTTTCATTTCAGTCATTAGAGATACTCTTGAGAATATTTACGTATTCAAAATGTCTTGTATAGTAGAAAATATATAGATGCACTGCTTTGATGATCGACAAATACTGTCTAAACGCTTGTATTTGTAGTCTCTAAGATTGAACCTATGAATTGGGAGATTGAACCTTTTTAGTGATGACCTCTGCTCGGGTGGAGGAGGTAATAAAAGATATGTCTAGATTTGTACAATAAAGTAGTAATTTAACACACACATATACACATACACACACCTTCCTCTAATTCCCGGTTTGGCCTTACACAGCCAGCTGCACAAAATGTCATTATTCTCTTAGGATTCGTCTTCAAGTTTGAAAACACAACATTTGGACAGAGAGTGTGCGGAATGTTGTTTATGCCAGAGGTCCCTAATATTAGCTCAATGAAATTAACTTTGTCTCCCTTTTCAATATAGCAATTCATTAATTTAAAGTAGTTCTAGAATTTACCATGCTGCTATTCAGAATATATAACTACAATATGTGCTTTTATTATATTTCGGGTGTTCATTTGGACAAGTTCAGATGAATTATGAAACGCTAGGGGACGCCAAAGTGGCGGCGATGACGTAGGAGAATGATCTCTCACAGCAGCGGACAGCAGTCTTGGCTGGAAACTGTGGGATCAGCGATCGGAGGTTTCACTGTCATCTGAACAAGGTATATTGTATTATCCAAAGATGCTTAACACCTATTAACGGTTGACATTAGCATTTTTATCAATGATGTGCATCACAGGTAGTCCTAGGATTTTCAACTTCTGGAGCTTTGTTGTTCATAAATGTAAATATTGTATTTAATTCAAGTTTATTTTGTTTACCATCTTTTTGATGTTACAATGTACATTGGTGGTAAAATATAATCTAAGGCAAAACCATAGTGAAGACTGGCATAATGTAAATACGTATATTAGCCTTGTTTAGCATGTTTTAGGCCCCTGTTTTAGACTGAGACGCTGCGCAGGGCATTAAGCTAACGTTTTCCAGGCTATTATCAGAAACGTCCTGGCTCCTAATGCAAATTTCTCAGCGTTCACATGAGGTTGAAAACGATGTAGTTCTTGCGCCCGGCCCAGTAGTGGGCAGAGAAACTTTACAACACGACACACGTACCCTAGCCCCGTGCCCCAGCCCCCCCTCGGCAGTATACTCACTTCCTGTGCCAGACCCTCAGAACGCAACCAACATCATTCTGCATTTTTAACAGCAGCTGTGAACAATGGGAACTGAACCTAGAGCTTCGCGTGGGGTTCTCGTTTGGGACGAAACGAAAGGAGTAGAATTATCCTCTGTGCCGCGCTGGAAGCCCACGTAGCTAGTTAGTGTGCAGACGCCGCCATGGTTGTTTTTGTTTGTTCTCCGCTACTGCGCATGTCCAAATTTTACGTGCGGGGTAGCAGCGCGGAGGGTGGGGTCAGAGCAGAGGGGGATTTCACACCTTTCCCCTCTCGCGGGTGTGAAAAAGCTCCCTGCTGTGCAGCGTTTCTGAGCTGTCCCACTCTGCAGGCTGGATCTGAACACTTACGTTTTCACCCCCCCTGGAACACAGTCCTCGTATGAACGGTTGGTAGCAATTCCGACATCCAACTATAGCGTTTTTAACTGCCTCATTGTCGTCCGTGTAATCTTCAGCCTTAGTGATATCAAGTAGAGTTAGCTAAACTTGCCCAACTCTAATTTAGCGTGAATCTCACAAATAAGGCTGAAAAGGTTAAAAGAGTTGCCACACTATTATGGACCAACAACAGTTGAAAATAATGTTTAATACCTTGTTCAAGCAGACAGTGAAACCTCCTACCCAGGATTCAGCCCACAGACTGCCGCTGGCTAGCGGTGTGATGGCCTTCTCCTACGTCAGCGCCGCCATTTTGGCTCCCCCTAGAGCGTGTCTATGCGGAAGTTGAAATAAAATGGCGTCTTCAAAGCAAGTTTTTTTTTTCATATTTTCTTCTGAACATGGTCAAAAAATTTGGGAACACCGATAATATTAATTATAAACACAGTGATGGGGCAGTAGCGTCGCTGCAGTAGCGTCGCGGCAAGTAGCGTCCTCTACTAGCTTAACTTCATTTTTCCGTAGCTTGACAGCTTTTTCAATAGCGGTCACTGTTTTACAACTCCTCGTAATCTGTTCTGTAGCGTAGCTATATTATTGCTCAAGTAGCGCTTTGATCCGGTAGCGTCCGCCAAAGCTATTTTCTCACGGACATCTCTGGTTGTTCCATATATTACAGCATTTTCCCGCTGCATAAAACAAACATATAGAAAGACAGAATGCTGATGCGCATTGCGCAGGGCTTGGTAACGGACACACACACTCACGAACGTCACGCGCACATTGCACACTAACTCACACATGCGCGCGCTACGAGGGGAAGCCAATAGCATTGGCAGAGAGCCCAGGAGCCGCCGCAGGTGGAGGAGGACGCATGATAAGGACTCTCATAGTGTGGGTGTAACCGTGGACCATACCTCCAAAAGTAACGTCCACTGCGAGTCGAGATGAGCGAAAAGAAATATGTTTTCAGATGCCTACTCTTTGTTGGTTTTGGTGTTTTGGGCTATTGTTCAATAAATATCTACAAAAATTTTAACCTTTATCTGACTGACAGTTTATCTCAATAATAAGATAAGCTTTTATTACGGTATCTCACACAGGAGAAATGTTCACATGTCACATTTGGCATGGATAAAAACACTCAAGAATTGTGCAAAAAATAAGAAATGAGCAAACATGTTTGAATGCAGGAAAATGATAAAATTGCTTGAACTGCAAGTTTGGTTTTAATTGAAAATAGCTCCTATATAGCAAGCTACTTTTGACAGAGGATTTTGTAACTTAGCTTGCTACATTTGTATTAGGTGGTAGCTTCTGTGTAGTGAAGCTGAATTTATTGTAGAGTAGCTTGTAGCTAGTGCGCACTACACAAATCAAGTAGCTTGGCCCCTTCACTGTTTAATAACACTGATTGTAGTTTTTACATGTTAGATTCCTGGGATAGCAGTATGGTAAATGCTAGGTAGTGACTACTTTTATAATATATTTTTTTTTTAGTTGCTGCGTTGGAGTCTAGTTTTTGGTGGTTGCCCCCCTTACACACACCATCTCATGGAGATCTTGTCGTTTAGTGCTCTGTATATTAGACCTATTCTCTTCCTGAAGCGGTCCGTACCACAAAAACACACAGGCATCGTCCAGTGCATATCATGAAAGAATTAATGTTTTCCTATGGACCCCCAGAAACCTACTATTGGACTGGGGCTCTAGTCCCCTGCAAAGGGCTAAATTCATTTCGTTTAAAACAATTTATCTATTGATTGTATGATCATTGGGCCCAAGTCAATGAGATGTCTGTACAAAAGATTAGCTGTAGGGTAATATAGGAGGGGTCATATAGGGAGTCTTACATGGTTGTAATATAAATCGCTAAAACTGCAGAGGCGTAATGTAAAAGTGGTCTGGCTACAATTTGTTTATGAGGTGCGCTACTGCGCGTGCGTTGGGTTGTCATTTTTTCGATGCCGGATACTGGAGGAGAAAAACCTAATGTATTTATGGTTTTTTTCAAAGGTGGCTTGGCATTGCTGAGAACTTTATCCCCTCATGAGCGATTAACCACATTTTATCTGTAAGCTTTATGTGCACTTTTCACGTTTGTATGAGTTTGTAACTGCCAACAGTAAGTAACGTTAATGAAACGATAAATAATGGTTTTGGGGATGCGTTGATGGTGTGCTCAAGCCTTCAATAATGGACGATGCTATACTACAAATCAAATACCTACTTAATGAAAAAAAAACATATTAACTACATTTCTTTCTGATATAAGTTTCCTTTTTGACTTGTTTCATAAATGTTTGATTTTTACATGTTTTTTCTTTCAAAAGTAAACAAAAAAATCACTTCAATCATTATTCTTATATTTCCTGTTTAGTAATATTATTGTTGTAGTCCTTAGCTCTCTGATACAAGTGGGGAATTTCAAGGCTCAGTAACATGTCCCTGTGTCCTGAGGCAAGACACTAGGATGGTATGTTGTGTGTGGTCGCAGGGAGTGATGGCACATACTGGTTTGGTCTGCTTCTGTCAGTGTGCCCAGGGCAGCTGTGTTATAGT